TGTGTCGGAATATCATGACGGCGGGGCTGTAGATCACGGCGTTAGCGGGCGTGGGATAGAAAGACTGCTTGAGTGATACAGTGAGTGTGCTGCGTCTGCAAAGGGCTTCCTTCCTGCGCTCGTGCCCCACCAAGCCATCCCCCACCTAGAGCGAAGTCGCTAGCCATGTTCAGGACAGCAACGGGAGCGGGTGGTGTGGGTTCCGTCACTGTGGTGCTTGACGGGTTACTGTTGCTACTGAGTTCCCGGATCCCAGCATCAAAGGTATCAACATTGAGAACCTGGATCTTGGTGCCGGTGTACCCAGGGCAAAATCTCTGGTCTAAGAGGGGTGGCGCCGCCGGAGATCGGTAAAGGAAGCCCTCTGTTAAGTAGCTCTTCTTGGACGCGGCTAGGATATTCGGGATGAGTGCTTTGGTTTCGTAGGACACGGCTCGTAACCGTTCACGTTCAGAGTCGTGTTCTCTTCTCCCACATCCCCGGCCTTGTCCCCTGCCCCTCCTCTTCCTGTTCCCGTTACCAGCATCTCGACTGTGAGGAGAGTTCACTGGATTATCAGCAGTTTTTGTTGGGTTGGACATGATTGTCTGGTTCACCTGGCAGCGGGGTAAGGTTTCTAAATTGGAACGTTTTCTTTGCAATAAATTATGTCACAGTGATGTTAGAAACAAACACATTCTCCGGTTGTTGAGATTGATAGAAAATGGTGACGAGTTTCTACGCGACTCATGATAGTTTCAGGCGGGGCTATGCAGTGTCCGCGGACACGAGCGCGGCTGTTCTCTGCATAAAGTGCCTGAGAACCGCCAATGGATGTATCTCAGCACTGGGAAGCTTAATTAGTTAAACTCGCCAACAACATCACTATATTTAGTTGGCTTTGAATGAACTACTCGTTACAAACGCACTTGCATCATGAAAATGTGTACGCAGTCTTTATCAAGATTTCCAGCAACATGCATCCTAACCCTAGTATGCATACCAGACCATGCCCATGGAAAATAAAAATATTACTCAGCATACCGAAGCTAGAAGTCATCTGTCCTTGCTTTTCGGTTTCTCATATATACCGGCGGGACATGGACAGCGTTGCCATTTATTCAAGTAACTAGTCGGGAAGGAGTCGGATGCACAAAGACGTGAACTATGGGCCGTTTACCAATTGACGGGTTTCTACCGACCATTCAAGGAACCCATATTGCAACACTGTGCTTCTCGAGGGTACTGCCGGTTCACTAGAGGGGAGCACACTCTCCAATATCAACAATACACAACCATATTGAGTGGTTTCTTTCCTGAATTGTGCACAAGATTCCTCATGCATGTCCACCTTTTTGTCCAACAGCTTAGTTTTTTTATTGTTTCCTTAAGTCCCAATTCCTAGTGAACTAAAAAGCAAGACCGACAATTGACGCAATCGAGCCAGTCAGCGTCATATTCGTAATGGCCTTCGCAAATCATGCCGTTCTATTCCGTATATGTTCAAAGGAAACGAGACGGCTATTAGAATGAGAGACACAGTATAGCTTACACGGCTACGTGAGCGTGTTCTTTTCCCAAATTGGAGTCTATTGGAATCGTCAGCATTAACTGAGAAAAGGATTCCGCTCTGGTAGGAAAGGTCTCAAGTGTTATGGAGCAAGTAGCCCATTTGTAGTGATCTATCAGTCAGACTCCTCTGTTTGAGGGGCGGATATGTTTTGACGGCTCCCAGACTTAAGATTGGGGTGCCTATTTTTCACGTGTTGGTTCAAGTTCCAAGTCCTGGAAAATCCCTTCGTCGACCGAGAACATCCCTTAACAGGACAAAACAGCTGCCCTTTAAGACCCAGCGCGCGCCTCCGAACAATGTTAGTAGTATTAGGAATTTCAAAATCCGTAAGTTCCCCTGACCCTTCTTCGTCGGCATACTCCCATGTAGGCATGGATTTTCCAGAGCCCTCACTCAGTACCAACTTCACTTCATTTAGAGTCCTGAATGCCATGTCTTCCCCAAACAGCTCTGAACAACGTTTTGCTGTTCTCATAACGACAGGTGTTGGCCATCCCGTCATTGAGGCGATGCCAACAATGTCGCTCCAATCACGTAGACCCAGCTTAGATTGCCTAGAACCAGGTGATCGGCTTCGAGAACGTCGGGGTGTATTTGATCGTGGTCGTTGGGTTTTCGATGGGTGTGATAGCGTGTTTGGGACATCAGATAGACCCACATTCTTTTCGCGATCTGACATAACGGTAGGGATAGTGTTCGCAGACAGCTTCCGTGATTGATCTATACCTCGGGAGCGTGATCTGCTGCGGCGCGACCTGGCTCGTGAACGTGACGTGGGTCTGGAATTTGACCCATCTTCAGGTTCGGTTTCACATTCGCTTTGAGAAAAGTCGACAGTTGTACCATAGGATTGTCGGGAATGGTGTAAACACAAAAGAATATTATCGAGATCGTTAAGTATGTGTCTTGCTGAGGGCCGTAGCGTCACTCTAGATTTCTCATCATCTGCCTGAACGACGGGTCGGAATTGCACTTCTGCGTGTACGCCAATTTCACCACCACATGAATCATTTTCAGTATTCATTTCGGTGCCAGCGGTATCCGAAGGTGCTCCGTTGCTCTTATGGCGAAGGCGAGGTCGTCGATCCTCCCATGCTCGAGCCTCAAATTTCTCTTTGGCTGTTTTAAGCATCTGGGCCATGATACACTCTTCTAATTCTGTGCTAGGGCGTCCATCAGATGGACCGGTCATATTACAGATGTCACTCGCATCTTTCTGCACATGTTCGTCTCCTCTTGGAACCTCGTCTGCAGGTAGGGGCCATGCGGTCCACTGCTTCGTTGGCACGAATGGCGAAGCCGGGCCTGCATTTCCGCTATTACTAGATTGGTGCTCTTGAACTTGTTCTGAATTTAAAGATTCTATTTCCTTCGCTCTCCTTTTGAGTGCGAACGCGTTGAATAGATGGATCGATAGATCTCGTGCGCGGAGGGCTTCCAACGACTTACTTTCTTGCCGTTCTTGTCGAGTTTTGGCGCGCCATGTTGATGGAGGGCCTCGGTATTTGTTTGGTCTTTCGGGCTCAGGAGATCCTTCGGAGGAGTCGTAATCTTTTTCGCTTACAGCTTGCTCATTCTTCTTGTGCGCACTCCTATTGCTGTCTGAATCCGAGATGCCGTCAAACTCAGTAAGAGATATTCCACCGTCAGAGGCGTCTGGTTGAGGAATGATTTGCTGTACAATCAGCTTCTCTTCATACTCTAATCCATGTAACTCCGAATTACTCTGTGATGCTTCTCGAACTTGTTGATGTGATGATGGGCTCGCGTTCGTGGAAGGGGAATCCGCCCTTAGAGAACTTGATGTCAACATTATGGTGTTAACTTAAACCACAGAACAGAAAGTCCTGTGGGAGTATGGACGTTGAGGATGAAAGAGGAAAAAATTCCCCCATATTTCCCACCCAAACAAAAGCACCGCTTAAATTGTTATTATATCCTGATACACCTAGGGGTGAAGGGTCAAATTTTGCGACTATAGCAGCTCGCTGTCACGAACTTTCCAAACGTATTTGAATACAAAAGAAGGGGAAACTTCTGCAAGCTTCATCGGGCAGCAACACAAAACGTGGAGAGTCGTTATATATTGTCTTCGCAATTCCTAACATGAATATTGGATCGATAAACATGGGCAAGACTGATCTGACGTCGGCTTAAAACTTCGAAAACATTTACGAAAACAAATGATCACGTGAAATTTCGGCATGCCGTCTTGGCAGATGTCGCCGGAATAACCCGCATACAAATCCCGGAGCCCTAAGTGTTGAGAGAGTACATTCACACGAAGAATGGAAACAAGCATTTCACACATACATTAACAACTCTCTGATCGTTATACAAAAACATCTTAATCAATCCTGATCACATCCCTATAAGCTCTCTCCCATCCCCTCAGGCAGCAAGCCTGATGGCGTGCCGACGCAGCGCCGCCAGCGCGCCCAGCCCCCCAACACCACCAAACGCGTCCCGAGCCTTGACGCGCATCTGCTCCCCCATACGCCGTCCACCCAAGAGACCCCATCTCCTCACCCCAATCGCCCGCCGCACATGTGAACTGAATGACATGGAGTCTCCAAGCTCCCCTACACCAGCAGGCAGCTCAAAGAGCAGAAATGTCGCACCAATTCACCTCAACCTACGTGGCCCGATGGCTAGCGATCTCCTAGCCGCCCACGAGGCTGAGGCACAGAAATCCCATGCAGAAGCACTAGCGGCTGCAAATATGCTTGATCGGATTGAAGAAGACCTAGATGTCATGAAGGCAAAAGGCCTATCAAGGGCACTGGCCCTTGGAGCCGCTGTGAAGGCGTTAGTCAAGGACTGGTACAATGGAAGTCTAGAAACAGCTAAGCAGTCCACCACAATCAAGCCTGCTGGCTCCACTGGTGCAAATGATGCAAGAGCTCCTACCTACGCAAAGACAGCTGCAGACAGCACCAATGTAACAAAAACACCAGCAACCATACTGCAGAAACCCCTGCTTAGGAATAACCCCAGAGAAGGAAAAACACCACGAATCCTCGCGCGCCTGCCTTCAGATCATCTAGCTCGCAAAGCAAGCCCAATTGCTACTCTTAGAAAGCTGAAGGCTGAACTCCCAGGGCCTTTGCAGCAGCCATCACAGCAGTTCAAGCCATCCCCACAGGCATTGCAATCATTCCTAGAAGCTTGCAAGACATGGAGGCCCTGCTAGCCCAAAAGAATGTTTTAGCAGCCACCCTCACCAATACTCAGATAGAGAAGGAAGAACATTGGATCACCTGCCTGATTCCTGGGCTGCCCATGGAGATTAGTGACTATGGTGGTGGAACTCTGCATCTCTCAGCAGAATCCATGACAGAAGAATTCACACTCCAAACCAGAATCAAGCCTGTCCAGAGTCGCTGGGCAAAAATACACCCTGGAAACCCAACAGCCACTCTTATATTACACTTTTCGCAAGAGACAGCAGTAAACCTGCCATCAAAAGTGGAACTATATGGATATCAAAGACCAGTGATCAGAAAGGCACCTAAGGTCAAAATACAACAATGCAGCAAATGCTGGGGATTTCATCAAGAGAGATACTGCCTCCGCGTCCCTCGCTGCAAAAAATGCAGTTCTAAGAATCATGTGAAAGGAAATCCATCCTGTCATAAGGAGAATGAAGCATGTGGATGCCCCAATCGCTGCACTAACTGTCTTGGACCACATGCCGCGGATGATCCATCCTGCCCCGCCAGACCAGGGATAAAGAATGGGACTGTTCAAAGGCACTCAAGAAACCAGCTGAGGGATATCCGCAATGCACAGAGTAAGGCATACTTGGCCAAGGCAAGTAACAGCAAATGCGGTGGTCAAGGGCCATCAGCAGACCTGAGGTTGAATGATTCTACTGAGCATAGATCTAACCTCACACCGACATCAAACACAGCACCAAGCACAGCATTGAGCACAGCATCAGGCACAGCATTAGGCATGGCGCCCAACCCAACATCTAATGCAACACCCAACACGTCATCTCACGCAACAACACCCTCCTTTCAGCTA